TTTCCCTAAGAAACAACATTTTTTATAATATGTACCAAGTTAATGTTGCATCCACCTTTTAAACAAATTTCAACCCAAACAATTAGCTACAATACACTTATCTATATGTATACAGTTTCATGTATAAAAGAAATTCTTAAAGAAACAGTTACGTACTTGTACACAAAAGATTTAGTTAATATTTATGTATGAAACTTACAGTTGATACTCGTGTATTCACTATGATTTTGTTAAATAAATGATTTGGAGTATTTAGCAAAACGAGTCATTTAGACAAATCCTTGTTGATGTGATAACGCTTGTTGCTATACTCCCGCACAATCACACACAAACACACACATACACCAAGCAACAAGCATTTGTATAGTATTTTTCTTTCATTGTTCCCTGAAAAGTCTTGCTACTACTAGTTGTGGGGAGATTGAAGCGGTTGGGGATTAGTGTAGTGGTGGTGTTTGTTTGTTTTTTTTTTTTTTTTTGTTGTGTTTTTAGTTTACAACAAAATCTTATTCATCACCATTACCAAGAGCAAGTGTTGCTTCAACATTATGCTTATTTGTCACTTGTAACTTTAATAGTTGCCCTCTCATACAGACACACTTGAACTTTCTCACCCTTAATCATCATGGTGTTTGTCATCATTATTATCATAATCATGAAGCAAATGAAAAACAAAACAAATTATGAAAATCTTCTTTGTCTTTAAACTAGTTGGAAAATCTTTTGTTTTTTAGAAGCTTCTCATTCTCATACCCTTTCACCAAGCTGCCAGTCTACCATCCATCCATCCATCTATTCATTCATCCTTAATTCATTTACTTCATTTAAATGTATTTTAAGGTTTTACTTCGTTAGGATTTGTAGTTGTTGTTATTTTTTGTGATTATTCCCTGTTGTCATATTGTGTCAGGATTGTTTTGTTTTTAAAGTTTTACAGTGTGTACCCTACACTAAGTAAATTACATTTTGTATACTATACATTATCTCTCGTAATGTCCTATACATGATTGCGACGGCTAGAGGTCCTAGAAATCGTTTTAGATACCTAATATTTCTTACGCCTTACGCGATCTTTACATTGAAAATCTTGTAATGAATTGTATAAATTTCATTTAATGCAACATAATGGATCTAGGGTATTTTAAAATCTACTTATTCCATTTGTTATTATACAACCCTTTAAATATATAACTTAAATACCCGCATTTACTCAGTGTATATTTCACAGATACATATTCACAGTGTCTTTGCTTGAATTCCGCAACCAACACCAACAGCGGGTGTCAGTTTGTGTGACAAAAAAGATTTTTCATGTTTTTCCAAAGTGATGGATCGGTGCGGTGATGGTATGCTTTGTAGTCTGTATGTATGTATATTTTATTCTAAATATGAATTCTTACTAAAAATCCTATTAGAGTTAGTTTTGGGCATATTTTTTCGAGAAAAATAATTTTGTAAAAGTTTACAATCATATATCATTCATTTATGGAAATAATTATATTAAGTTTTGTTTATCAATTAGTTTCTTTGACGAAAATATTTTTAAGTAAATATTGTTTCTTTAAAAAATATGTATATCACAGACAATAAATAAATGTTTAATTTAAAGCTAAAAGTAAGTAACACTTAAGATTATAAAATTTTATAAAAAATCTATCTAGAAAGCGATTCTGAGTTGATCGGTTTACTTCAAGGTGAGTACTTTGTTTACAGACATTTAAGCGGATGGATAGACGGACATGGATCAGAAAATGATATTGTTATACCTTAAGGTAAAGACCCAATCTTTTTGTGAGATACAAACTTCATCACAAACGCTTAATACCCTTACTTGGTTAATCTGTTAGCGTACACCAAACTAACGCATAATACCCTCTCATTATATGGGAGTTAGGGTCAAATATGGCCCAATCCTCAACAAATTGGGAGGAGGGATGTGTTTTTGTATAAAGGTTAGTTATGGCGAATTTCATCGCGATACTAATGGTTATAAGTAAATTTTTGGAAGTTTGCGATATTTTTTAAAAGGGGGTTTGTATGGGGGCTGGGACGACGGCCGATTATTACAAAAATCGGCATGGTCATTTATGCCTATATAAAACATAGTTGTGCCAATGTTTGGAGAGATAATAGTATATTTGAGGTAGTTATAAGTTAAAAACCCCAAATCGGAAGGTCAGGTTGTAAGTGGGGGCTAGGTGAAATAATGGACCGATTTCAACCATTTTCAAAATCGTGGCATGTTGTTTGCGCACAAGGTTTACATGGGCAGCCAGCTAGCCAGCCGAACGAACATATCCTAATCGATTCAGAGTCGATCGGTATACTAGAACGTGGGTGTAGGATCAATATTTTTGTGCGTTACAAACATCAGCACAAGCTCATAATACCCTCCCCCCTATAGTGGTATAGGGTATAAATATTAACCTAAAAAAACTAATTTTTAGAAAACCCGGTATACGTTTTTTTCCGTAGTAAGATTACTATCATTTAGTACTTTCCTTAGGCATATATGGAACTAATTTTGATATGGTCCAGAAAAATTTATATTAAGTGATTTTCGGTTACGGACTTTTTACAGGTGATATGACCTATACAATGCCAATATTGCCGATGCCAAACAATTTAGGAGAATGATTTGTATATTTACAAAATATATTCCTGTCCTGCTATGACCAATTATGGATCAATCCGGAAAAAATCCGTACAATGATTATATAGGTACAAAAAATACATTTATGACGAACTTTTTCTCGATAACTTTGATTGTCAATGAAAATGTGCGTTTCAGTGATTTTCGGAAACGGTCTTGATATGACAGTTATGACCAATTGAGGACAGATTAGGTAGTTAATTAAATATGTGCGTTTAAGTGACTTTTGGAAGTGGACCTTATATAATTTATAAATACGTAATGCTTTAGAAATACACAAAACGTAATCAAGTCGAATTTTATCACGAGAGCATTATTTATCAATGATCGTCGGAAAAAATCTTTGATAGTTTCCGAGAAATGTACTATTTAGGTATAAACGTCATTTTTTTAAGGTAGTCTGAAAATTTTTCCCATAACTTTTTACGTTGTTAACCGATTTTGTTGATTTCCTTGTCTTAATTTGTTTTACACAGACAGACGGACATAACTAAGTCGACTCAGAATTTCACAAGGACCAAGAATATATAGACTCTGTTGGATCTTCGTTAAACAAAAAAGTACAAGAAAGTCTCATTTTAAAGAGTTTCAATCAATCAGGTACATATGTGCATAACCAAAAAATACCAGTTATAGACGAAATAGTACCAAAAATCAACAAACATTTATTGTTTAATTCTATGTTTCTAGGTTCATGAAGAAGGAAAAAGTACTAAAAGGTCCCCTTTTATATGTTCTCGCTCACCTAATTTCATGTTTCTATGTTCATTATCGTAGAAAATTCAAAAAGTACCTTTTGTAGAACGAAAAAGTACCAAAAAGTCCCCTTTTATGTGTTCTCACTTAATCCGGGCTGTACATGCCTAATTTCATGTTTCTAGGTTCAATATTACAGAAATTTCAAAAAGTACCTTCTGTTGAATGAAAAATTGCCAAAATGTACCCTTTTATATGTTCTCACTTATTCCGGGCTTTGCATGCTTAATTTCATGTTTCTAGGTACAATATTATAGAATATTCAAAAAGTGCCTTTTGAAGAACGAAAAAGTACCAAAAAGTACCCCTTTATGTGTTCTCACTTTATCCGGGCTCTACATGCTTAATTTCATGTTTCTATGTTCAATATTATAGAAAATGCAAAAAGTACCTTTCTTATTACGAAAAAGTACCAAAAATTCCCTTTTTATGTGTTATCACTTAATCCGGGCTCTGGATACTTAATTTAATGTTTCTAGGTTCAATATTACAGAAAATTCAAAAAGTACCTTCTGTTGAATGAAAAATTGCCAAAATGTACCCTTTTATATGTTCTCACTTATTTCGGGCTTTACATGCTTAATTTCATGTTTCTAGGTACAATATTATAGAATATTCAAAAAGTGTCTTTTGAAGAACGAAAAAGTACCAAAAAGTACCCTTTTATGTGTTCTCACTTTATCCGGGCTCTACATGCTTAATTTCATGTTTCTATGTTCAATATTATACAAAATGCAAAAAGTACCTTTCTTATTACGAAAAAGTACCAAAAAATCCCTCTTTATGTGTTATGACTCTGCATACTTAATTTAATGTTTCTAGATTCAATATTATAGAAAATTCAAAAAGTACTTTCTCAAAACGCAAAAGTACCAAAAAGGCTTCTTTTATAGGTTCTCACTTAATCCGGGCTCTACTTACTTAAATTCGTGTTTCTGAACACTGATTTTTAAAAACGTTCTATTCGACCGTATGTCTGATTGAATTATTGAAGATTCGGATCTCGCAGATACATATCTGGGGTCTTCTGAAAACTGATTTCAACAAATACACGGACTGACAGATGGTCAGATGGACAGAATAACAGACGGACATGGTTAAATCGACTTCGCTATCTATTAGGATCCAGAATATGTACACTTTATAGGGTGTAAAACGAAAATGAAGGGTATAAAAATGGAAAATGATAAGAGTCTTATTCATAAACTTTTATCAATGGTTTATAAATCAAATTTTTATATTTTTTCTTTATTCATAAATGTTTATGAATAAGGCAGTAAGTATTTCTAAACCGATTAATTAGATTTTTGTAAAAAAGATATTTTTGAAATATATTGAAGCTAGTCTTTTTCTTTTCAATTCAACTACTTTTGCGTCCTCTTAAGTTTATATAATGAACAAATTCGTAACCGGTTTTTGTCTACAATAAAAAATGCAATGTAACTACACTACCAGTCACTTGGTGCGCTGTTAGCATAAACTATCATGAAAATTGCTATTTTCTTACACCAATGACTGAACTACTATAATTCTACTGATGGTTGTTGACTTAACTAAATTTTTACATTTAACCCATTAAAAGCAACAAATA